TGTATATGCAAGTGTGACCATGGATGTGCTAATAATTTATTATACAAATAATGCTCATGCTTATAGTTTGTCACCCAAGTGTATCCGCGGCATAAGATCTATAGCTAAAAAGTTTCATAATATGAAAGCTCCAGGTGATGATGAAATTTTCTATATTCTCATCAAAAAACTCCAAAAGAGTTCCATTTCTTTCTTGGTAAAATTATTTAACAGCTGTTTCCATTTAGCAAACTTTCCTAATAAATGGAAAAATACAAAAGTTGTACCAATGGATAAAAAATCCAGCTGAAGCTTTTAGCAACCGTCCAAAAAGTTTGCTTTTTTTTTTTTCTGTTCGGGACATAAAACTACTGCGACCAGTAATTTGATCTATTGTAGTATATCCCGTGTCCTTAGTTTAGTGCATGTCGTATTACTTCATCACTATTGAAAAATGATGAAGTATTCGGTTTTGATACAGTTGTCATTCTTGCCTTCATCGCAAGGAATCGATTCTAATTGATAGGTTCCGCTATTTATACCCTTCGGAGTGTTGGAACACCCTCCAAAGGCGCGCCCCTTTGTCCGTCAAAATTGGATTCCTTAGCAACAAAATTAAGGAACGACACCGATAGTGACCATGCATCAGAACCCTAGTCTTAACCACTTCAAACTAGGGAACACCAAATAGAAGATTAGGAATCACATAGATGAAGACTAACTAACTCATTTTTTCCTTGTTTCAAGATCATCCTCGGTCCAGGCAACCCGAGGACTTATCACTATCAACAAGGCATAAAAAGTAACAAGGACTAAGATGTGTTCCTTTGATTACTGAAAAATCCTGTTCCCCTAGTTTGAAGTAGTCAAGGCTAGGAATCGGTGGTAGATCTTACATCCCGCAACGTACCACGAAAAGGTGATCTACCCACGTTACGGGGCAAATTCAATAAGTAAACTTTTTGAAAAGATAATTTTAAATAGAATGGTGCTTCCTAGGGTGCTTCACATCAATACGAACTAAATTTTTACAGATGAGCAGTTTGGATTTGGCCATGGACACTAATCAACTCTTAAGAGTTACCAATTTAATTCGTTCAAACAAATCTGAAGGCTGCTCAACTGCACACTTAGATTTTTTTGCCGAGATGGGCACCACCGAGCAGCTCGCATTTTATTTTGCTGGATCTCAGTGAAAAACTTGCCGAGATTCAGCTAACAAACGGGAATTTTGCCGAGATCTCAGCTAACAAACATATTTTTTGCTGAATTTCCAGCACAATAAAATACCGAGCTGCTCGGTGGTGCCCATCTCGGCAAAAAAAATCTCAGTGTGTATACAATTTTTCACCGAGATTCCAACAGCCGAGTAGATCTGCAATTTATTTTGCTGAAATTCAGTAAAACAATTGCCGAGACTCAGCTAACAAATCTCATTTTGCTGAGATATCAGCTAACAAACAGATATTTTGCAGATATATCAGCAAAAGTAAATGCCGAAGTAATCGGCTGTTGGAGATTTTACCGAGCTAGATTAAGTGAGACATAGAAAAAGCACTCGACAGTGTTTGGCATGAAGGTTTGATTGTCAAATTGGAAAAGTTTAATTTTCCGCTATATATTATGAAATTAGTTCAAAATGATTTAACCGACAACTCTGCAGGTAAATTAAAAAAGTTTCAAATCAAACGACTACCTGTTAGAGCAGGAGTTTCTCAGGGTAGCATTCTTGGGCCTATATTGTATAATATTTTCACTTCGGACCTCCCTGATTTGCCTCAGGGTTGCCACCAATCTTTGTTCGCCGATGACACAGGAATTTCCGATAAAGAAAGAAGTCTTCGTGTTATTTGCAGCAGACTGCAGAAAAGTTTAGATATTTTCTCTTCTTACTTACAAAAATGGAAGATTCCTCCCAACGCATCCAAAACTCAATTTCTAATTTTCCTAGAGCTTCCTTTTTTAAACACATTACACATATTCACATAGTCACTGTGAACGGAGTTACAATTTCATGGTCGAGTCAAGTGAAATATCTTGGATTAGTACTTGAGCATAAATTATTTTTTAAATTCAAGCATATTCCCATTCAAGCCAAATGTAATAAATATATAAAATGTTTGTATCCGCTTATAAACAGGAAATCCAAACATTGCCGGAAGAATAAACTTCTAACATTTAAACATTTTTAGACCGTCCATGCTTTATGCTGTGCCAATCTCGGTGCCAATATAGTCTAGTTGTTGCCCTAACAGGAAAAAAGGACTTCAAAGGATTCAAGTTCTAAAGATGATTTTGATGAAGTTGCTTACTTAGATTAGATTTAGTTTTTAGTTTTAAGTAGAGTCGGTGTATAATGAGTCACGCCAAGAGAAAAACAGTTGAACTCGCATCACGGTTTTCGAAAGATTCCCTTTCTTTTCACTTGGCAACAGAAGACTTCTATATCAACTTCAAATGACTTCTAGCGAGAAAAAAAATAGCGGCTGTAGTAAATCATTATATCAGTGATTTTGTCAAATTATCTTTTCAAAAAATAGTAAAAATTCTCATTACTGATCATTACCAAACGTATCCCATGACAATTTAATGCTCACTGCGTGTGAGCACCAACTCTAGTTTTAAGATGTCAATTGTTATACTGACATGCAGGTATAGAAACCCTTTTTAAATTACTTAATTGCCAAGGTAGGAACAATGTAAAAACACTGGCTGATAAGTTACTGTAGTAGCTGGAGCACCTAGGTTAAAAAGAAATGTAATTTATTTTAAATTTGGAACAAATAAAGAGTTAAAAAAACACAAAACAAATCAAATTAACTCAATACGTTCTAATGCTGATAATGACTCATTAGTAAACGCTACTGTGTTACCTGACTTATAACGAATATACGTTGTATACGAGTACCGCAAATACAACGTATAGTTACCCTAATAAAAAAATACCACAAACGAACGATAACCCAAATCATTGAACAATTCCACAAATGGTTTGGATGATACCCCGAACACGTCGTTAAGCAAATTAACCATACCATTTTTATTAGGGTAGTCTAATTTTACATTGCAAATGTCCTTTCTCTATTTTCGTCATGACGACACACTCAAAAACTCTCTTAAATTACATTATTTTTATATTCGTTATAAGTCAGGTAACTCAGTAGGGACAATTAACTCGGGAGACATCGAACTTCATCCTGTCCGAAGCGTTTAGATCTGAAGGATTCAGCTTGTGTATTACTTTTTGGCCCTGTTCCAGCATTTTCTTTAAAAAAGCAGAGGATACAACGAATTTCCCTATATTGAAAACGCATTATTCTATATTATACAGTGCTGTTCGACGTAGACCGATCGTCGTACAAAATGGTCAACATTGACATGTAATTTTGTTCTCCTATGATTAATTGATGTAAAATCTAAGCCACAGAAGTTAAAAATGATTAAAATATTTGATGAACAAATATTTGCCAATAATGCTAGTATTATGATCAATTTTGCCTCAATAACTTTGGTATTTAGTAAAGAAAATTGAACATACTTAGGTATCGTTCTGCGGCTCAATAGATCTTAGGAGAACAAAACTACAATTATATCGATTATATCGTACAGAATAGTAAATGATTAAAGTATATACTGCTTTACCCGAGGCTTTACTCAAAGCCATTTACATTTAAGGACCAAGCAAACTATGAGGAAGTTTGTTCACAAAGTGGATAGTATCTTGGAAACAACCCGCCAGGCTTGCAATTGCTCGTTACAGCTAAAATGCTATTTTTCGGTATTATGAAACAATGGGATACTATAATGATTGTATATATGACATATAAAATTTGTCAAATTTGCTTTCAGAAGGTTAGTAGTTAGTAGTTATCGGTCAGTCGACTTAAGAAGGCTTTTCCGATACTTGAAACTTTTGTGAGCGGGGGGGGGGGGGATGACTCTGCTCCAGAACACTACTGTCCTTCAGTTTTTCTGCTTTAAACGTGTCGAAATCAATTTTTCTAATTATAATCTAAAAATCTGTGATTCTCGGTAGGCAAAGTGAAAAATCGGTAGTTTTGAACCTTTCGTTTGTGAATCGGTAGGCACCCCGAAAATCGGTAGGAATACCGATAATTCGGTAGGTCTGGCCACCCTGGCTCGCTCATCGTTACAGCTAATCGCTAGTTGTGACCTTCTGAAAGCAAAATTGACAAATTTTATATGTCATATACAAACTTTACCACCTCTTCTTGCATCTTACAAATAAAAATTATCATTATAGTATCCCATTGTTTCATAATACCGAAAAATACCAATTTAGCTTTAATGAGCAATTACAAGCCTGCAACCCGCTCTATCGTCTACGTTGATTACTTAATGTCGCCCAAACATTTTATTTGGTAAATCATTTGGAATACTGGTTTGAACTTTCATTGCAGTTAGCAGACGCGGATCGCGACAATGAGCAACTAGTTTTATAGCAGCTTTTTGCAATTCAGCTTCCTCGTGCTTTGAGTCACATATTCATGAGTGAATGTGTTATCACTGCACATGTACAGTATACAAAACGGCGATGCCCCGATGGCCAATATAGCATACACACATTCTCCAACAGGGTAGCATTCAAGATCGCTGATCATTTTCTTCACAAAACTTGACAAAAAATGGATCTGTTTTGGCATTCCGTCGAGTCCGCGAATGGAATCTGTCCGTGGATCGTGTTCAGGACTGGGTCCAACTGGAGTGCCATCTTCGCTTAAAGCACCATCATTGGATAGCCAAGAGCTACCAAATATTTTTTCAGAGGTTGAATCATTAAAACGCCCTCTGAGTCTTACTGGTGTGTCGCAAAAAGTGCCGTTTAACAGTGTTAACACAGCGAAGCAGTATGTTGGCTCTTTTAAACTTATAACTGCTATTCTTAGCCGTCATGAAGTCGTACGCAGCCGTGTCGAGTTCCAAATCGTTATAACGCATTCCACGGGGTTTGTAAACATCGAATATCTTGTTGATGTCGATGGGTACCTTTCTTTTTATTTTCCGGAAACGTTGCGTTAATGTTTGTAGTACAAAATCAATGTTAAATAATACGTATATTTAAATTAAGATTAATTTGTAACAACCTTAAAACGGTATGTTCTGTTCTGTGTTCTGTTACTCTGAGTCTTCATAATCATCAAAATTAATTAAGTGAGTGAGGTTTTTTTTTACGACTGGGTCGTCGTCTTCAGAATCGTCAGATTCACTTCCTTCTCCATCTTGTGCTAGTTTCATCACCACCATCAGAGGCACTGTTACTTCAGAATCAGCGCAGTCATGTTCACGTTTAACTTGGACAAGATTGTGCATCAAAGATAACTCTAATTCTCGCTCTAATCCCTTAGTTTCATCCGAGGTATGTTCTGCAAAGCCTTGCTTTTCCGCCACGCTGGTCTCGAGGTCTTCAAAATAATCCAAATAATAAGTGGTTATAAACTCTCTATGATAAAATAGAAACCTTCTTCTTGAGTAACATCTATCGTAAGAGGAACGTGCTGCCCCATGTTGCCAATGCATCTCTTACTGGGCCCAATGCCTTCTTGTACACGTTTTCTTGCCTTCAGCTGCTCACTTGGGACTTCCGCAATGTGCTCTGGTTCTGGAATGGTTTGCAATACATCATTTACATGAAAACAGAACGTTTAGAAAAAAAACTTCATCGTTGCCTTTATCTGCTTCAGAACGGTCATCTAGTTTTTCACTCTCCAAACAAACAGCCCTTTGTTTGGCCGGCTGGACCTGGTTTTCATCAAATCTGCTGTTCCTTTTTGGCTTGGAAGATTGAGACAATCCAAGATGGACAGCATTGCAGTGTCGCGTGAAACTAAATATATGCCAACTGCCAGTGCGGTCCATGGCCAACGATATTTTCGTCCGTTTTCCCTCAGAGCTGCAAATTGGGCATACTACTTCGGCACGGTATTTATCGCCTTCATTTCCGTACACCTGAATTGTCAGGTCCTGAAGCTGTTCAAGGAAATTGTCATAAAATGACCCAGAAATGTTTCTGAAAAAGGATTGCGTTATGCTCACGAATTAATTTTTCTGTTAGAGTTCTACTTACTTGGAAGTAAAATACGTCAATATTTTTTCAAGTAGTTTATGTCCACTTGGATCCACCTCCACAGAACGTACGAGAACACTGGTGGAAGTCTTCGCCGATCCAGTCTGTTTCTTGCGTGGCTTAAGGAAGCTCTTTATCCCTCGACTTCGGATGATCGCTGCCAAATCGAGCAGGCACAGCACTTCCCCTTCCAGGAACTCGAACTTCTGGGGCTGCTTAGCATACAAAGGCCCATATAGCTCAAGGAGTGGATCCCCACCTTCCGCTGCTGCTTCGATGTAGTGGTCAGCCATACGACGCATATCCTCAGCAATTTTTCCTATCGATTCCCTCGTTAGGTTTGTTAGGGACTGCCGGCATAAATTCTGGACTTTTAATATATTCTTGATGTGGAGATTTATTTGGCCGTGCTCCAGCTCCAACTGTTTCCAAAAGAACGCCTAAAAGTTGAGATTGTATATTATATTTCATTTTTTTTCAATTGAGCAGCTCTTTTGACAAAACTTACCTCATCCCATGTCTCTTCCATTTTAAATCGGTATCAAACTTGGTACATCTCTTAAAACGTTTTAAAATTCTTAGATTTATCTTTGTTTCACCAGTATTGATTGATATTTTTATTTGGAAGTAAACAAACCTTAGCAGCGTTAAATCGATTAGAAAAGCTTCAGCGCTCAACAGTGTTGCCGTTTTTTTAAATATTTTCGTGCCGAACAGTGTGTCATGCTGTGTTTCGGCACAGTGTGCAGAGTTGATTACTCCTTGCCACAAAGGGCTGTTCAAATATTACATAATGCCAATATATGCAAAATTTTGACACCTTCACGGCCCATCCCTTCACGGCCCCACCACTTTGTCAAGCAGTTTTGGCGTGACTTTCTACCAGCGATTTCACAAAACTGGACCAACTAATTTCTATTTTTATGAAACGCACAAATGTTGGCTACTTTTATCGTGGTTCTAGAAGAAAACATCTCAAAATAATGTTTTATTTCAAAGTTTGAGTGGTAGTAAACGTCATTTTAACTGCTAGAATGAAATGGTTAATTAATAACAAATGAAAAAGGGGATATGCATAAATGACGCTGCATTTTAGGGTGAACAGCCACGTAGAAAAATACACTGCAAGGGGGAGGGGTGCAAAGTTGGTGCTTCATCAAACATCAAACGTAAACAAACGTTTAAAGTTTGCTTACACAGTAACTGGAAAGTACCCATTAATGGGTACAATTTCACCCATTTTGAAGTAAAGTAGGTTAACCTATTTAATGGGTGAAAAAATTAATCAAGTAATTAGTAAGTAATTAATGCCCATAAATGAGTAATTGTTACCCATAAGTGGGTAAACGGTACTCATTAATGGGTAATTTGCGGTAATTTGTATAACCTACTTTACTTCAAAATTGGTGAAATTGTACTCATTAATGGGTACTATAATGCGAGCTATCAAGCATAACTTTTCAAAAGGACGTAAGTCGCAAAAATAAACAAATCGATATTTTGCTTCTAACCGAATATAAAATACATGCTTTTCCTACGAGTTAATGAAAAACAAGGTTGGAAATTTTAATGAATTATGGAAAATATATTTAATGAACGCCCTATTTGAGGGGCGACCCCGGCGTAGTGGTTTAACATCCATACCACTCACGCCAAAGTCACGAGTTCAAATCTCACCCCCAGACAAGTCACGAATGACCCAAGAGTGTTAAAGTGACTATAATTAAAAAAAAAAAGCCCTATTTGATCTTCTTTTTTTGTATTTAAAATTTGTTGATACACCCTTTTCTTGTCAACATGACTTAACTGTTAAAATTTGATGGTAACACAAAAACTGCAGATACACTCACAGTGAAGCTTCGTATGTGAAAAAACAAAGCAACCATTAACAATCTGCAGATGCGCCAAGTTGTTTCTGAGTAGCAGTTATCTGTGAAAAATTCACAGATATTTGTGAAAAATTACAGGAAATCTGCGAAACTGTTTATACCAAACGTTCAGCTGTTGAGATTTTGGTAAAATTTTACAGATTTCTGTAAAAATTCTAAGTGTGATCACATTTTTAAATTTAGTTACCAGTCAAATTGCTTTTTGACGTAATCACCTTCCGATCAAAATATTTTTTGATATTACACCCAATTTCTATGGAGATGCCGTTTGTCTTAAGTAGCAGCGCAGAGAAACCCGTGAAAAGTGTACGTTCGTCGTTTCCCTTTCTCATTATTAAATTGAATAAATCGAACTGTTTGTTGCTACGATTTCGGTGGTTAAAGTTAAAATTGAAAATCATGTGGAATTTCACATGGAAATTCGTCAATAAAATGTGTGGAATTGTATTACGCATTTCACACCAAACAGGACTAATAAGCGTGTTTTCACTTATTAAAAAGTGTGATTAAAGTGCGAGCTTACGTCTAATCGTCTTGGTGTCTTCGGTGCACTTATTTCTTATGATGCGCGCAATAAGTTCTCCGAAGACACCAAAACGATTTGACGCAAAGGTGCACTTTTATCACACTTTTTGCATTGTTGGGGCACTCCAGTTTTAGATGCAATCAGCAATATTAGTGTGTATTTTCACGGGGTCCCAGATGTTTATTGCAATATCCAAAGTGGCCAGTTCGCAAGGTTTTGTATCCGCCAGACTATAAATATAGTGACTATAGTGAAAATGCCTGCAAAAGACAATTGCGTAATTTGTGCATGCACCTTAACCGGTTACTTTATAAATAAAAAAAAATAAGCAAACGATCAGCGGTGCCAGATATACAGATATGTTTGTATTATACAGATTTTTGAAGTCTCGTACAGACCCGATACAGACTACAGATATTATACAGATATTTGAAAATGAATACAGATTTAGTACAGATTTTCGCCAATTGGTTCCTGAAACATAACATAAAATAAACAAATTATTTTCGAATGTGTGCATCTTGTTATGATTATGGTACGTTTCTTAATGGTACAAGCACCTGGCAGTTTTTGTTTTACTGATTACGAACCTGACCTTTTTGACGTTTAAGTTCTTCTCTTTTGTAGCACACGATGACGGAGAAGAAAAATTTGTTCATAATCTATTTCCTGCTTGGTCATGCATCTTAAATTAAGATTGTGCGCACCGTAAATTCAAAAAGTCTTTTTAAATATCGTGATTTTAAACAGCAATATGCTGTTTTAGTCTCGGTTTTAGTTTTGAATTCGTATACTACTAAAAATAAAAAATGGAAGAAAAATACACTAAAATGAACTTTTTAAGTTCTAAAATGCTTATTTATTCAGTTTAGTGTGTTCCCGCATAAGCGCGAACCATAACATAAACCTTACCTAAAATGGTTAAAATTGTTTATAATCCCTGCTAAACTTCAACCTCGACTTCAACTGAAATGGTACTTGTAATGGAACTTTACATGAACGTTTAATGATAAAGTTTTAACCTTAAGTATTATAGTTTTTTGGAAGTGGACCTTACAAATAATGGGTTGTTAAGAACCATTACCATTCAAAATTCTTGTTTTCTCCATACATTTTCGGAAAGAAAACTATACTAAAACTTTTTAACTTCTGGTTTGAGAACATTAATGGTAATGGTTATGGTAACCAGTAAGGCCCATGAATGGTTTTGTAACATCGATCAACTTTGTGTGAAATATATCGCGAATTGGTTGCCTGTAAATTCCTGATTACCAATTCACGATATATTTCACGTAAAGTTGAGTGATAATACAAAACCATTAATGGAACTTACTGACTACCATAACCATAACCATTAATGTTCTCAAACCATAAGTAAAAACGTTCTAATATAGTTCTCTTTCCGAAAATGTATGGAGAAAACAAGAATTTGGAATGGTAATGGTTCTTAACGACCCATTATTTGTAAGGTCCGCTTCCAAAAAACCATAATACATAAGGTTAAAACTTTATCACACAAACGTTCATGTAAAGTTCCATAACCATTTCAGTTGAAGTTTAGCAGGGATTATAAACAATTTATAACCATTATCGGTAAGGTCATGTGATGGTTCGCGTTTATGCGGATTGCGAGCAATTTTATAGCCAAAATACATGTGGGAAATACGTAATCAGCAAGAAGGCGATTTTTTCTAGTGTACAGACAAATACAGACTTATTTTTTGACACTCATACAGACTTTTGAAAAAATCATCTGGCATCCCTGCTAACGATTCAAACGTCAAACCGAAAAGAGTCATCACCATCATCATCAATGATCATTATTGCATCCAGCGAGCCAGTTATCGTTTCGCTTCTGCCCAGTGCTGCCATTTATACAGATTTATCTGTATTATACAGATTTTTAAATCTTAATACAGACCCGATACAGAATACAGATTTATCACAGATTTTTAAATTACAATACAGATTTATACAGATTTTTATAAAATGAATGTTATGGTGTTTTTGACAGCATTCACAACCAGAGGACCAACCGCTTTCGGATGCATATGGAGCTGGTAGTAAACGATTTGAGATTGTATGGGGATTTACAGTATTAATTGAATATTTCCAATATAAGCATGTATGTTAAATACAAGAAATGTGGCCGAGCACATTAAAATGGTACAAATACAAGTACTCGTAAACATTTTACTTGCATTGAAAATGTATTTCGTAAGAAATTGCGGATTTTCTGATATTCTCCATACTGCAAAAATGATTTTACCAGCACTGGCGGGGCGGCATCTCTCGACTTTTCGGTGTAACTACCACACAAATGATGTAATTAATTGTATTCATCTATATTAAAAATATCAAATAGTAATGAACTCGTGCACTTTTTTGCATTTAAAACTGCTTATCAGGAAGATAATGAATAGAAACTAAAATCTCCATACATTTTCAAACGGCTTCATATCACTCTTATAAATAAGTACGGACGATATCACAAATGGCGCAATTATATCCCGTATGGTTGGTACCATAATCCGAATAGGTGGTTAAGCACTTTTTATGGTTATTTTGTATGCACTGTATTTGTAAAACAACAAAACATGATTAATTAAGAAAAAAATCGTCAATACAGAAAATACAGATTTTTTAATAGAGTGGATACAGATTTTTTATAAAACCACCTGGCAGCTCTGCTTCTGCCGCTGGCTGGTGCGGGTCTGCTGCTGCAAACGCCGGCTGCTTCGTAAATTTTTCCAAAATAGCCTAAGTTTTATTTAAATGTAGTAATTCGGCCGCCGAAAGTGTAAATCAACATGAAGTTCTCGTTTACCTACATTTTAGTGCTGGTAAGTTTGAAATAGGTTTAAATTTGACCCGGGGAGAGTGATTTTTCTACGTAGGCGCTCCCTTTGAAGTGTACCTTTTTGCCGACGCCGCCACGTCAGGATTTTTTCCGCCTGTCTGCCTGCTCGCCCTTGCTCATTCACTTGAATTGTTTTGGCAATTATTGTAGTGATTATCCATCGTTTATATTTGTTGCAAATACCGGAATATGAATTCATTGGGGCAAAGTGATCAAGTGATTTATTAAATGATTCAGTGGATTTTTAAAATTGGTGCATTTGATTTTAGCTCTGCGCACTGATACTGCCGTCAACTCTAGGAAAAACCAATTCTAAGAGTGCAGTTGTAGAAGGAATCACCGATGCCAAGGAGCTGAAGAAACTATTTCGCACTAAAACCAACGTGCTAGTATTGTTTGTGTCCAGCTTGAAGGAAGCCCAGAGTACCGTGAATGCATTCCGAGATGCAGCCGAAATCATCAAAGGACAGGGTACGATGGTTTTGTTCGACTGTAGCAATAGCGACATGAAGAAGATCTGCAAGAAACTCAAGGCCCATCCGGCTCCGTATACATTGAAGCACTTCAAGGATGGTGATTTTCACAAGGATTACGACCGCCAGTTGACGGCAATTAGCATGGCCAATTTCATGCGCGACCCAACAGGAGATTTACCTTGGGAAGAGGATCCCGTTGGCGTCGACGTGGTGCACGTACCGGATGCAGTGGTAAGTAGGCGGTAGAAAATGGCTTTGCTAGTTGTCACTTTCCAACTAATAAATATGGTTTACTTCCAGGCTCTAGGCAAGTTCCTCAAGAAGGAAGTTCGACCAGTATTAGTAATGTTCTATGCACCGTGGTGCGGATTTTGTAAAACCCTCAAACCAGAATACTCAGCAGCAGCCACCGAGTTGAAACCCAAGTACGTACTGGCTGCGATAGATGTGAACCGTCCGGAGAACTCCATCATCAGGAAGCAATACAACATCACGGGATTCCCAACACTTCTCTACTATGAGTAATTGCCTGCATTGTTAAAGGAAATATGGTTTCGTACTTACCATTTTTTAATTCCAGGAATGGTCGCATGAAGCATACCTTCGACGGAGAAAACAACAAAGCGGGAATCATTGCCTTTATGAAGAATCCGGCAGCCCCTCCACCGACGAAACCGAAGGAGCCGGACTGGGCTTCGGAACCGACCTCGGAGATTGTCCATTTGGGTAGCGCCAACTTCGAGCCGGCACTGAAGGATGAAAAATCGGCCTTGGTCATGTTCTATGCACCGTGGTGTGGCCACTGTAAGAAAATGAAACCAGAATACGAGAAAGCGGCCACCATCATGAAGGACAAGAAGATCGCCGGTGTTCTGGCCGCGTTGGATGCCACCAAGGAGCCAGCCATTGGGCAGCAGTTTGGAGTGAAGGGCTATCCGACGGTGAAGTATTTCAGCAACGGTGAATTCAAGTTCGACGTGAATGTTCGTGATGCGGATAAGATTGTTGAATTTATGAAGGTAAGTAGCATAACATCTAATCCGATTTTCAAAGTTGGTTAATGAAGTGAAGAACCGTAGACAATTGCCAAAAACAAGTAAGGGAAATGTTGGCTTCAGCAATACCTTAACCTATTATCGTCAGGGGGTAAACAACGTCCTTGAGAGCTCAATTTTGGTATGTGGATTTTTTGAGAGCATCTATTGGCTAAATTTGAGTGTTCCAGGACTTTGTTTACCCCCTGACGATAATAGGTTAAGGTATTGCCGAAGCCAACATTTCCCCTACCTTCGAAATCTACTGATATTCTTTGAAATTAAGAAAATTTATCCAAAATTTGCAAAACTTCTTTGGAGTTCGGTAAAATTGTACTGCTGGTGAAGCATAATTGCCCCATGTTCTATGGACTTTCATATACACATGGCACTATTGTGCTTCCACCGGCAGTGTACATCTAGCATCCCTGGGATACAAAGAATGGCCAGTCAACTGACTTCGTTTGAGACTGCCTATCAAATTATTTCGTTCGACAAACTTCCCCGACGATGTCTCACTTTACAACTTCTATCACTCCAGAATCCATCGGAACCCCCACCACCGCCGGCTCCGGAAGCACCCTGGGACGAAGAGCAGAACGAAGTCGTTCACCTCAACGACGAAACATTCAAACCATTCCTGAAGAAGAAGAAGCACGTACTGGTTATGTTCTACGCACCATGTAAGTTCTTCGTCCAAAATGTATTAAATAGTCTCTCATGTAATCGATCTTAATGTTTCAGGGTGCGGCCACTGCAAGCGCGCCAAGCCAGAATTTGCCAACGCCGCCGAGCAGTTCAAGGATGATCCCAAGGTTGCCCTGGCAGCTGTTGATTGCACCCGGCACAGTGGAGTCTGCTCGGCATACGAGGTTCGTGGCTATCCAACGATGAAGTACTTTAGCTATCTCAAAACCGTCAAGGAGTATAACGGAGGCCGGACGGAGGCAGATTTCGTAAAATTTCTCAAGGATCCCAACGCACCACCGCAGGAGAAAGCTCCAGAACCATATGGAGATTTCTCCGGTTCGGATAAAATAATCATCATGAGTGATAAGAACGCAGACGATGTCCTGCAAAATGAAGACCGTCTACTGGTGATGTTCTACGCACCGTGGTGCGGACACTGCAAACGAATGAAGCCAGACTTTGCCGAGGTGGCTAACCTTCTTGTTAAGAATGGTGTCCCGGGTAAGGTCGCGGCCGTTGATTGCACTGAGCACACAAAAACGGCCGAACGGTTCGAGATTCAAGGGTTCCCCACGATGAAGTACTTCGTTCGGGGGAAGTTTATCAAAAATTATGAAGATAAGCGCACGGCTCAGGCCATGTTTGAATTTATCCGCTCGAATGGCGCCAGCACAAAGGATGAACTATGAACAACCCTTTGTTGGACGGGTTTCTGTAAAAAAGAAGAAATAGTTTGTGATCTGATTAAACTCGCACAAATTGCTGAAAGAAGCGAGTGATCTTTTACTGTATCTGCCTCAGTTTATATATTCCTCTATCTGTCTGTGTAATAACTTTTTTTAACGATCTTGATTTTCTAAACAAACTGTTTTCAAATATTAAATTAAATCGTTGACCGTGCTGTATAATTTATCGCGGGAATCGGAAGCAAGCACACCTACGGTCAACAAATCAAACTAAAAGACTTTCTTGAATGATCAAATATCGTGGTTGAATGAGTGATTTATCTGCGTAGCCGTCACTGGAACGTGTGAATGAAATATAGGTGTTTTATTATTTAAATCTAGGTATCTGGTGGTTATTTTACTAATCCGAAATAGACCGCTGCGTAAGTGCAAGAAGTAAGGGACAACATCGTTCGCAATAAGAACGATACACTTTCAGGCGTGGTGTGGTGTGGTTTGTATTTGTTCAAATTTTTATTCATTGCTTCACAACGTGCAGTCCATAGTTGCAGTCATCGTTGTCGATGAATTTCCACGAGTTAAACATTCGGTCATAGAAGAATCCTCGGACTCTGCGCATTTGGCAGCCGTATTTGCTGGTAATCTTGGCAACTGCTTCGGGTGAGATGAACTTTTCGTAGAAATGTGTATTTTTCGGAATGAACTTGAGAATGTACTCTGGGATGATGATGAATATGAACCACGCCAACATAGTCTGATTTTCGGTAGTTACAAACAGGGATCCACCAGGCTGTAAGGAATAGATAAATTAGGAAAATTTCAATAGAGCTTACGATTCCGACGTATTGTTGATTTACCTTCAAACAACGGCAACATGCTTCCAGGATCGATTCCTTCTCATCTACATGTTCCATCACTTCCGAGCAAATGATAGCATCGTATGTTCCAGCGAACTTCTTTGCGTGTTCCTCCACCGTAATGTCGTGATATTCGAGGAAATCTTTCAATTCGCTGGATTTGGTTTCTAGATGGATTTTGGCTAGATCAATCATTTCTTTGCCCGGGTCAACACCTACGACGTAAGCTCCCAGTCGAGCTAGGTCTTCGGCCAGAACGCCACCACCGCAGCCAGCTTCCAGAATTCGCACGCCCTTTAGTGCGTCCGGTTTGGCAATATCGGCCTTTGAGATTCGACCCGTTTCGGCTAAGCCTTCAACGACAAGTGGTACCCTAGAATTGTAAAAGTCGGTTGCATGTTAGTCTCTTCCGGCTGTAATTTTCAGACAATCTATCACGGACAATTCAATAACACATGCTTTGCTATTAGCATAACAGTCCCACGTTATGTGGAATTGCTATTTACAAGAGACTGTTATGTGAGTAGCTGAAGCACAAACCTACCACCGAGATAAAAAGTGTGCTTAAAAAAATCCTCAAAAATGTTATTTGTGTTTGGTGCTCGAAGTGTTATTTTATTTATTTGAGAGGGAAAAGCCCACACTGAACCATAAGAAAATCCAATGAAAATGCTTTGAATGAAAATGTCAGGTAAATACTATATGAATATCTGATACATTAATAATGCTGATAATTTGGTAACTTTTATATGATCGTCGTATGATAAATGAAAATCGGTCAAATTATAATTAACGTTCTTTGAAATCGCCCCAGTGGTTCAAAAGTTGTGATTTTTTGAAATAAGCTATTTGAAAAAATCGATTTTTTGGACCATCCTCACATGGAAATGGCCACCCAAAACACAATAATAAAATATACGGGTCTTATAATTCGCGTTAAGGAACAAAAGTACCAATTTTTACGAAATTCTGTGAACAACTAGATTGTATTGCTATGGAATGGCTGCATACACTGAGAAAGCTAGAATTACACGGACAGAAAATTGAACCAAAAAAAACTTTAATTGTATTTAAGCAAACAATTCCGGTTGAAATTATATTGCATTTTGTTGTTTCAATAATACTTATTCATATAAATTCAAAATAGGATTCTTTTTGTTTTAATCAACCACTCTTCAATTGCAACTATTGTAAAAATAACAATATTCTATTATTAAGCCAACAATAGTTAATTCTAATTTAGCATTTATTTGCTGTGTTCATTTTCTGGGTCATGAAAGCAAAAATAGCTACCAACGATTCCCTCGTTTTCACCCGGACAAAAATGTAAACAATAACAATACTTCCGCGTTCCTCGTAAGTATTGTTTTTAATTGTGAATTTCGGGAAATAAGTGCAAGATTTTCGAAAATCTTGAGACTTGAGGTAAGTAAGTATGCTGCAATTCGAGCTGCAGTTGATAAATATAATCAATGTTTCTGTTTTTTTTTTCCTTGATTTTTTTCCGTCGATCATGTTTTCCGTACTGACGAGTACCAATGCTCCTGACGCCAGGAAGGCAGCTCCCACATCTGGACCCTACATATCGACCCATCAACTCATGAACCGGGGGCTTTTATTTTGCCTCAGAAATTCAATTGCAATTTCTGCAATTTTGTTTCAAAAATAAAACGAAACATAAAAAAATGCCAGATTATTTTTGCATCAATAAACATATTTTTATTTCTACTGCGTGAATTGTCAGACTTTATAAATAAATATGATTGAATCAACCAGAAATCTCTTTTAAAAACAAACATATTTTTGTTGTTGACCCAGCTGCCAAATTTGACAGCTTACGTCAAAACTATGAAAGCTCTTGTAAATTCTAACAGATTTCCTTTTTGATTTTACAATCCATGGGTTTTTAGAAACAAAAATACTGGATTGTTGAAACAATAATGATTTCTTTTTGCAGCCAAAACAAAATGAAATTCTTATTGATTTTACGTCAAAAATTATTACGTTTAAAATATTTTTTTCTGCGTGTACGATTTTCATAATATGTTTCGTATGAACAAGCATTTTCAGCTCTGGAAATAGTTTCATACGACACTTATGTTATTCATAGCATGCGTATGAAATTTACATGACTCAAAAATGATTCCCATACGAAATGAGTCTAAATTTCGTACGAGGCTGCAATGAACTTTATGAGTTGATCTTGTGTGAAAAAAATCATACGTCGTTCGTATGAAACGCTGTTCAATACAAAACAATATGGCGTACGAGCCGAAATTACTAGCGTATGTTAAAATTCCGGCGAAACTTGGGCTGTATTGAGAGGTAAAAACGATGAATTCTAAATAATTTTCCGGATCCTACCTAAATTTTTAAAATAATAGAGTGTATGGCTTTAATAACAACCATTTTTGTGTACTGGTAGATCCAGAAGAGCAATTTGATTTGGACGTGAATTGCATAATGGCTAGAAGAAAACGTAAGAAGGTAATGTAAAGATTGGGTCGTATGAATAAAAGCGTTTACTTTACTTTCCCCGTAAGAAAAGCACGGGAAAGTAAAGTAAACTCTTTTTATTCATACGGCCCATTATTTCAAATATTTACTATCAATTTGTCCACAGAATCTGCCTAATATCAAAATACTGCGGTTACTGCAATCCTGTTGCGATAACAGACGTAACCTAGGACGTAACTGAGTTAAAGTTGGAACCAGTGGCGTCAAAAGCCAGGCAGATTGTATTCCGGCACTTAAAACTTTATAGTTAATTTTTGAGTGATTTTGTTTACACAGAGAAAAAAAAAATTACCCTAAATTTAAGTTCTTTTTACTTAATTTTGGGTAATTTTGAGTTTTGCATCCCACTCTCACTTTTTGTTGTTGTAGGCGGAGCATAGCAGCTACTTAAGTATACTCCATTAACCCTGGCGATCACGAATCCCTCGCTCGAGTTGGACACGACTACTTCCTGAATGGGGAAGCTCCCCATCGTGCATATCGCCGCCATCCCCGACGCGTCCGTGACCCAATTCCCGTTGCCGGTTGGGACGCGATACGGGTCAGAGATGATTGCGACATCCGCTCCCTATTCCACTGCCGATTGCCACAGCAGTTGCTGGGCAGCCGAACAGTGGTTCAGGTTCAACTGCGCTACCTCGAACATGGCTGAGCATTGCTCTTGGCCCCCGGGCAGCGTGAGCCACCTGCCATGTGGTTGGTAGGGGTATTCCCCTTCTCCGCGCATATAGTGCACCTCGGCGGCTTTTGGCAACCTCGCGCCTTATGGCCCTCCAAGCCGCACCATCTGCAAAGCTTGCTCCTGTCGGTGTTCTTACAGTCACGGGCCACATGGCCCTGACCGAAGCACCTAAAGCAAGCCGTAACCGGTCGGGGAATACTGACGGGGCAGACCGACCAGCCCACTCGCACCCTCCCTGCGGCTACCGCCTTTCTGGCCTCAGCTGTAGAGAGCCTGATGGTAGCCACTTGGGTGGAAAACAGTCCCTTCCTCAAGGTAATCGCTGATTGCGGTACACAGCAAAAAAAAATGTAATATCGATCAACGTAATTCAAGCTGATGCATGAAATAATGATGTAATAGCAAAACGCAGATACAATATTACATCAATGGATGTAATTTTGTTCGCAAAATCGATGTACATCGTACAATGTGATTTTACACAACCGATGGATTGACCTGGTTGCAGCAGTTTCGATGTAATATTCAACAACTTTTTTTGCTGTGTACCTCGACTTGACACTGTTCCCGGAGCGCCGTGACTATCTCGGTCGCCTCCGTCACTTCGTCCACCAACCTCCTTTGCCAGTTTCTGGTAGGTTGGTCCCTGGTCCTTAGCACCACGTTTGAGCATCAGGAGCATCTCACCTGTACGAGTGCGCCTGATGCTCCTCACGTTACTGCCCATCTCCACAAGGCGCTCGTCCGTTCTCATTTTTTTCAAGACTTCCGCGAATGTCGACGCGTCCGTCTTGAAGATGAGAGCTTCGCCCTTGTTCCTGGTCCGGGCAGCACTGCTCTTGGGGCAGTTTTGTCCGGGGGTTTCGGGGGTTTCGGGGGGGCACCCTTCTTACCGCCCTGCTTCCCGCCCTTGGAGCCGCTACATTTCTCAACTTTGCTACTGGCTATTCCAGCCCTCTTTTTCGGTACGTCCACTAATGCAGTGGACTGATGGGCAACCGCCACACTCTCCACCTGCACAGAGACTTTCCATCTCTTAGGGCGTGCTGCGCCCTTTACTGGCGAAGGTGAGGGCCGATTTTGCTTCTGTCCCTGCGTAACGGCAAAGTGGAGGGCCTCGCTGGACATCGTATTGTTGCCCCCGAAGTTGAAGGCGTCCGTCTGGCTAGACTTCGGTTCCTTCTGTGCCGCCCTCTCTGCGACCTCTAGTCGCTTCCTGAGCCGCTCGTGGTCGTCCTGGGCCTCGTTCACGGTTGCACGGAGCTGTCGCAAGGCCTGCTTTAGGTCCTTCGCAATGTTGCTCTTCGTGCTCGTGAACTCTATTATGGCGTCGAGCTGTCCCGCGATTGCCAGCAGCCTAGGGAGGGGCCCAAAGCTATTCATGGTTCTGATTAGCCCGGGCCAGTCCTTCGGCTGCTCCTCTGGCTGTCCACCGATCTCGGCCGTTGTCTCTGCATCGCGCGGAGATTTCGGCCGTTTGTTCGGCTCATTGTGTTCGGGAGATCTGGGTAGACCTCCCTTCGCGAACGGGTTCGCGGTCGCCTCCTCGGTGACTTGTTCACCTGGGGTTTGAGGTTTTTGGCTTTTTTGATGATTTTGTTTAATCATCCTGACTGTTGGGTCCCCCTTAGACCGCTATCCTACCGTGCAAATGGAATAGTCGCTGATTGATCCCCATGGGTGCCTATGCGAGCAGTGAGGTCCATGACGAGGGTTGACATAGGCCTTCATGGGGCGTTATGTTCAGAGCCGGATCGCGTAATACGGGAATAACTCAACCTAACCTATTCCCACCGCAGCCCCAACTGGATGGCACGGGAGGAACGTATTCTAAGGCCTGCCAGGGTTTTATGGGACGGAGACAAGCAAGGCATTAGCTCAAACGTCGTTTCGGCCGGTTCCACCCGACTCTACTAAGAGAATGAAATACCTTGAGTGCCAGCCCGTAGCGTGGTTTATGGTAAGTTTCCACTCAGTGTCCTACATAATGCCAGTGTGTCAGTATACATACTTGCGATCTTACTGACATCGATCGCAAGGCGCCTTCCGGCGCTTCCCCTCGTTTGTTGTTCGATTAGCCGACTGGATCAGTACCGCAGCACTGGTTGTCCATCGTTTCCAGGGTGCACCACGGGGAGGCGAACAACTTCTTACCCCCTCCAACACCTGGACCC